TGTTCAAGCTTTCAGAAGCAGCTTTGCTCATAGAATCGTAGTGCTAGAAAGGACTGCGAGGGCCACTCTAATGTATTTGTATTCCTCTAATGTAGGAATACAAAACTAAAGCATTCCCAAAAGTTGGCCATCCAACTTCTGCTTAAAGTCTTCAAAACAATTAGAGTTCAGCACCATCTTAGGCAGTCTCTTCTACTCTTGAACAGCTGTTACTATCAAGAAGCTCTTTCTGAGGTTTAGGTGGAATTTCTTTGATTGTAGTTAATATTCAGTGGGTTTTGTTCTAGTCTCTGGGTCAGCAGAAAACAAACTTGCTGCATTTTCTATCTGACAACCCTTCAGATATGTAGTAGCATTGTTCAGGTACATATGCATGTGCATTCACATGTACTCACATGTGCACATGCAATGATATGCATTTGCTTACACATCTGGCTGTGCATTTGATTGCACATTTGGGTCTGCATTCAATTGTATAACGTCACCTTCAACACAAGGGTGACAAAGCACACACAGTTTTAAGCTTTGCAATCCTGATGTTGAAGCTCAGCCGTGATGTTGCAATAGTTGTGCATTTGTTTTAAAAGGAGCCATTATCTCTGCTGAAAACTTCTGTAATGTCAATGTGTACAGGATTTATCCTTACACTGTGTCCAGTGGGGTTTTGTTCGAGTGTAGCAGCACTCAGCAATTCTATAATCATAGAGTTGGAAGAGATCATGGAAATGATCATAAGGATCATCCACTCCAACTCCCTGCCATGCAGGGAGACATGATCACAGCACACTTTGTGACAGATGGACATCCACTCTCTGTTTAAAAACCTCTAAGGAAGGAAATTCCATCACTCTCACCATCTTCCACTGTTGGAAGGCAGCATCTTCCACAGTTGAACAGCTCTTACCATCAGGAAGTTCTTCCTAATGTTTATTTGGAATCTCTTTTCCTCTAGCTTGAATCCATTGCTCCGTGTCCTAGTCTCTCGAGCAACAGAAAACAAGCTTGCTCCATCCTCAATAGGACACCCATTCAAATATTTAAACTTGGCTATCATGTCACCTCTTAACCTTCTACTCAGGTCTGCATACTTCCGAGGTCGCTAAAATGAGTACCCAGCTGTTTGGGGGCAATGAGCTTAGAGTTGTAAACTGCTTAGACATCCCATAGCGCGATATGAAGCGGTATATAAATGAAGCTGCTTTGCTTTGCTTTATTCCCAGGCTAAACATACCCAGTCCCCTAAGCCACTCCTCATAGGGCATGGCAGCCTACAATGTTAGCTAGAAAATCAATCTAGGTAGATAGGGCATAAACCAATGAGTTGACAACTTCATCAGGTCTAGGGGGCACTTGAACTACTTGGAACCTATAGGAAGTTGTTCAAAATTTGTTTTGTTGTTCATAAGTTGTTTGCAGTGACAGAAATAAAAGCCCACTAGATTCACCCTAACATTTGCACAGAAGCTACCATATCTCACTGAGTGATGCACTGCGACATATACCAGCCAAGGCAAGTCCTGCTGACAGAGTCCTATGCAAGTTCTTAATAGTAATATTTCTTAAACTATAAAAAAATCTGGTTAAAGTATTCACTGGGAATGGTGTGCAGAAAGATGGGGAGGGAGGATGACATGCACTACATTTCCTCCACAGTGACATGTGGCTGGGAGCATCTTCACATGATGCTCACACAAAGGTGAAAACTTCTGCAAAGCTCAAGATTTCTAGCCATTTCTCTTAAAGCTTTGGATGAAGACCAGGGTGTCTTCATTGGTCTGTCTTTCCTTGCCCTACTACAGAAAATAATGCACACGAGAAAACGTCACCAAGACATGTTCCAGGACTTGAACCGGAAACTGCAGCATGCAGAGAAAGACAAGGAATCTCCAACAACAGACAGCAAGGTGAGTCCTGAATTCTTTCCTGTAGAAGTCTGTCTTTTGGAGCAATGATGGCTCACGGCTTCTATGTCAGTGAAGTAGCAAAGTCGCTCAAGTTTTTAATGTTACCTTTAAAGGAGTTATACATTGTGCTGGATTTGTTGTTGCGTACCTTCAAATCAGTTCCAGTTTATGGTGACCTTAAGGCAACTCTATCATGGGTTTTTATAAAGCTAAACCCATGGAAGGAGCCTCTGTGCCACTGGTATGTCTCTTTTCACAATGCCTTTTTCTTTGAATGAAGACACGCCTCAGGTTGCAGAATTCTCAATACATACAAAATGACTTTTAATTTCCCCAGTTCTCTTCTAGGGATGTAATTCCTCTCTACGTTTCTTCTCAAGGGAAGCAAACAACTTTTTTTTTTTTTACAGTTTTCTTCCTGCTGCAAGACATTCTTCAAAAACCCCACACAGTTTTCAAAGCCTTTTCACAGTTCAAGATTTATTTGCATGTGATTGTTTTGCACTTAAACCAGCAGAGATTCAGGAAGCAGCATTTTAGGTGTGGAAAATAGTATTCCTATGTATAAATATAATTTTACATGCAGAAAATGCTGTTTCCTGTTCTATGCACTGTTTTCTATGCAAGTGCAATTTTTGCACATAATATGTCCGCAGTTACAGCATTTTCTGTGCAAGCAATAATATTTCAGCATGTAAATATTGTTTTTTATATAGAAAATGTTGCTTCCTGTGTGCGAATTTTGCACAAAATAAAGCTCACATGGCAGAAATTCTTGTCAGTCCAGGATTCTTTCCCCCAGAAGTTCCCTACACTTAAAAAGCATGTCTATGACAATGTTTCAAATATTTTTTAATATTCTTCCAATCCCTATTCTCTGCAACAGGAATAGAGGTCCTAAGATTCTCCTCAGATATATATATATATATCCTCTCCTCAAACTGCATATCACACATACTCCTAGAAGCATCTAGGTTTCCATTTTTCCCTTTAAATGTAATGGGCCCAGAGCTTTTCTTAGAAGCAAGACACAGGGCCTTTGCAGACTGCTACAAATAGTGCATATTGAGTCCACTTTAACTGTCCTGGCTCAGTGCTAGGGAATCATGAGAATTATATATTTTTTCTGAGACACTGAGCCTTCTCTGTCAGAGAGCTCTGATGCCACAACAAATTACAGTTCCCATGATTCCCTAGCACTGAGTCAGGGCAGTTAAAGTGGACTCAATTTGCACTATTTCTGGCAGTCTGCAAAGGCCCACAGTCACACCATAAATGTTTAGGGAAAAGGGAAATGAGTCCTGGAATCCCAGAAGGTGCCCATTTGAGTTCTTCAAACTCTTTAGACAGCAATAAGATGAAAGGAGGAAAGTAGATATGCCCTTTGCTTCACCACCACCCCAATTGTGCAAAGTTTGGACATGTCCTTAAATTCTTTTTAAAGAAAAGGTTAACCTGCCCATAATTTTAAAATAAGCTACTGTTAACTGATTTGGAACAATGGCCCTTCTGTCGCAATGCAGGTTGAGAATTCCGTTGTTTTCATTAGAATTTACCTAAATTTGTAAAAGTCAAATATGAAAGAAAATGAAAGTGTCACATTCCTCCAGGGTCAGCGGGTTGTTTCCATGTCAGTGGGATAGTGAATCCTCTTTGGAATTTATTTTGAACTTTAAAGGATGTATCGATTGTGCTGGACCCCCATCCAGATTGGCCCCACACTTGCAACTCTAGGAACTCCTATCACCAACTTTGTCCTTTTATTCTTAAAGATTCCTCCCTGCACCTGATACTCCAGGGGTAGGCAACCTTTCCCCTTTAAAGGCCGAGGGACTTCAGCTCCCAGAAGCCTCAGCCATGTTGGCCAATAGTCCCATGTTGGCCAATAGCTCCTGGGATTCTGGGAGCTGAAGTCCCTTGGCCCTTAAAGGGGAAAGGTTGCCTACCCCTGTGATACTCAGACTGCAAGGTGACCTCTGCACTATGTGGATCAATGGGTTCATTGTAGTAAAGTGTGATGAGTAATTACACTTTCCTGCAACAACAAAAAAAAACTGTTTTCAATACTGTAGCTTTTTAAAATGTATTTTGGGGTGCTGAATTAGAAGAAAAAAACACAAGAAAAATGCCATGCTGCACACAGTTCTTTCACAAATTGGATATTTTTATCAATTCGGTTGTGACTCGGCTTTGATCGAATGTGGACACTGAAGATCCAGTGCAATTCCTTTTAGTGCTTTTGAATGGATTTTTATGTTTCATATCAGTGAATGAAAGTGTTTGGAAAGTTGTAAAGTTAGAAGACTCGAACCCCTTTCCTACTCTTTGCATGATAAATCATTGCAGGATCATTTCATTCAGTCATGCAATACAATACAGAAATGTACAAAAGCATGTTGTGGGGGAAAATGTAGATGGAGCAAATCTGAGGATGTTTTTGGATTTAGGATGCCAAATTCTTCTAAAACCAGCACCTTTTTTTTAATTAAAAAAAGGTTTTATGACCCTCAGTTTTGCAGGTCTGTGTTATTAAATTAAAACATTCAAACAAATGATGTTGAAATTAAGCATGATAAAGGTTTATTATATATCAAATAACATAAACCCTGAGGCTAATGCTAGTGCAACACATGACTAACATTTCTCCCTGGACTCTCCACACATTCCCCAAAACACAATTCATGTCTCCTCAATTCCTCTTTTCCTAACTGATTTTTCCTCTGTTCCTGAGTGCCCTAACTCTTTTACAGACAAGTTGCTAGCCTTCCCCTCCCCACTATATTTCATGAGTTGCAATTATCTGATTCTACCTAGGTTTGCCCAGCTCATCACGTCATAGACCCTAGCCCCCCAAATGTGTTCAGCACCTGGAATATTTCCTTTAAAGTTCACACTGAAGACTAGAAATGATTTCTTGCTCTGATCCTTAGCCTCTCAAGGCTCACATTATAGTCCACAAAAGTTAATATGCCACACCACTATGGTGCCTTGTGGTTGTTGTGTGCCTTCAAGTTGTTTCTGAGTTTTGGTGACCCTAACGTTAACCTATCACTGTTTTTAGGGAGCTGAGAGTATGTGACTTACAGTAGGTTTCTATGGCCAAGCAGGGAATTGAACCCTGGTCCCCAAAGTCATAGTCCAACACTCAAACCATTAGACCATACTGACTGTCATGATACCTTACTTTGCCCAAGTAAAGCATCCTTCCTTGGGCTCAAGAAGATGAGATTTCAATGTATGCCTACATCCTCAATATGAGTTTTGCTCCATTACAACATGCTCTCTTCAGAAGGTCCATCCACCAATTATGAGAAACTCATTTGACTGGGTTATGAGTAATACGCCCCATGTGCTCTACATGGGCTGAATTTTGCAATAGCAAGTAGCTTGCCAAATCATTGTTAGCCATCTCTAACTACTTTATAGGCCTACCAGCCATATTTTGGTTTATGAGTGTGGGCCAACCCATGTTGATTGAAAGGGGGGAAAACACCCTATTCTTTCTTATATGTTTAGGCTATAAAACGGTGGAGTGTTTCTTCAGGTGGAAGTGATAAAACTAACGCTAGCGTAAGTCATACTGCCTGTTTTTTCCTTAGAGAACCTTCTTCACTCCAAACCTTGCCATGATGCATGTCTCCAAATGCATTCTCTCTCCAGTATGAACACCTGGCCCTCTCTGTTTATAAGCCAAACATCCCTTGAATCCTTCCTTGACCCTTTCACACCTGACATCACCTAGCATAGAAGACCCAGGCAGGTCTTCCCATCCATCTACCTGCATAGTAAGAGCCTTGATTGCATTTCCTCAAAGCCATCCCTAACCGACAGTGATCTTCTCTTGCCTTGCCAATATCCAAAGATGGCACCTACCTCCATCTTTATCAGTAGCATGTTTTACTGCCACAAACCTTCTCCTAATCCTATAATCATTTACAGTGTTGAACAAGCGGGAAGAAAAGATGATGAAATGCTGTCCAAACTATTCACAGTTGGTACATCTTTCACACAAGCATTTTGGCATCATAGCTTCTTTGGGTTCCTTCTCATCTGATTTCATTGTTACAACCTCTCACTATTATTTTTAGTTGCAGAAAATTAATAGCATGTTCCAATTATGCTTGATTTGCTTTCTCTTTGATATGATTATAAGATTGTGCATATGAGTACACTTTGCTATCTCTACCATGACCTGAATCCTGTTGTTAGCATCAATTACTTATTGAATCAATAGGATTAATCTACATGTTCAATCTCCATTCAACAATTGAAACAATGAGTCTACTTTAGTTGGGACTAACCAATAGAATTCAGATTTCCATGGACAGGTGTGGTATAGCAGTGTGGTGATCATTGACATGGCTTGCAAGAACATCTGATTGCTTCTTTTATTATCTTTTTCCAGAGACTGTGATTGTGGAGAATTAATAATTAGTTAAATGTTGTTGTTGTTTTGTGTCATGAAGTTGGTTTTTACACATGGTAACCCTATGAATGAGAAATTTCCAAGAGATTCTGGCTGGAATCTTCTATCGTGGTCTACATTACATAACTTTATATATGCTTAGCTACAATTTTAGGGAAGTGCAAGGATGCACAACAGGATTCTAGCAAGAATGTGTCAGTGCACATTGGGCTCTACTGATATGCACCAGCACTCTATAGCTGGTGTCTTGCTGCACATCAGGACCAATGGCATTGGTACCGATGTGTATTAGTCACAATGCACATCCCATTGTGCATCAGTTCTGATGTGCATGGGTCCCATTGTGCATTGGTCACATTGCTAGGTCCCCTATGTAATAATGTAACAGCAGCCCCTTACAGGATATGGACCTTACAAAACTGCCCAGTTCTGATTCCTGCAGCTCTGAGTCCACTTATAAAGATGTAAGTCCTGAATAGGTTTTTGGATCCTATTGTTAACAGCCCTGCTCAAATCTTGCAAACTCAGATCTCGTGAACATTCCTGTTCTGATTTTGCAAACTGAGACAATCCATCTGTAATTTTGTCTTCCTTTTTTCCATCTTCAACTTTAACAAGCATTATTGTCTTTTTCCTATAAGTCATGTTATCTCATGAAATGTCCAGTGTATGATAGCCTCAGTTCAATTATTTTGGTTTCTAGTGAGAGTTCAGGCTTTATTTTCTTCTTAGACTCATCTTTTCAGTGGTGCGTGCAATCCATAGAACTGTCCTCCATCACCACATTTTAAATGGATGTATTTGTACTTCTAATCTGGGACTAAGTTAAAAGAAACAAAAATGAAACAGTAATACTAAAAATAATAATAACAGGTAACAGTCAGCCCCATTGAACTCACTGGAACCAAGATCTGAATAAATAATTATAATAAATAAGTAATTTCTATTCTAAAAGATGCACGTTTAAATATTGTAGGAAGTGGGGGGAACAAGAAGACACAAGAAACTAATCACATTGTTTTATTTTCCTTCAAAATAGATGATGATAGTAAAAATTATTATACATACTTAAATAGTCCATTATGGCAGGATTAAAGCACTGAAGCCAAGTAGTAAGAAATCATGTCCTGGTGCTGTTATAGCATAATCCACAAATAATAATAATAATAATAATAATAATAATAATAATAATAAAGAGGGAGATGTATCTCTAAGGGTTCTTAGGTGGTCTAATTTTTTTTTTAATTTGGAAACATGCTCAACACATTTTGGCCTATGTAAGCATTGCAATTGCCTTCTTCAGGGATAAACTATGAAACCGGCAGCAAAATGACTATCTTGTTTGTCCAATAAATTGAATGAAATTTTCAACTCCAGAAATTTCTGCTGCTAGTTTCATATAGTGCCCCTAAAGAAGGCCACTGAAATACTTATATAGGCTGCAACATGTTCATCTTGTTTAAAATAAATAAATAAAAAGCTACAAAGCATTTGAAGACATAACACCCCCTTTTTGCTTGTGGATTCTATTATGTGCTCTTCAGTATTTGTCTCTCCAGTTTTATATGACAGTAATTTAAATTGATTGGTGATGATACAGTAAAATGTAATTATAATCTTTTTCATGTTGAGGTGCCTTGAGTCCCAGTCTTGGGGAAAAGGTGGGATATAAATAAACCTAATAATAATGATAAGAACTTAGTAAAAGATAGGTAATGGATAAAATTAATCAGCATGAAAACTTGCTTTGACAAGAGGCAAATCTTAACACCTGGATCAGGGAAGGAAATAGTGAGCTCTTATCATCCCATAACTTTTCTTGAATTCTGATGAGGACATTTCAGATTCAGAGAGAGGTTATTATTTAAAAAAAAAACATAGGGAAGCATGGAAGAAGTCCAGTCTTTGCCAAGGGGGTCATGAAAAAAGGCATAAATTGTTCACCCAGCATAGAAGATAATCCACCAGCAGAATGTAGTCTGCATTATTAGAGACCTCCTGATGCAGGTCTAGATATCCCACCAGTACAGTTTCTCCAGTACAGGATGACAAAGTGATGGTTGAGATCCTGGATCAGACACACAGCTATGATGCTCCATGTCCTAATCAGATTCTACCCCCCTGCAAAAAATACATCTTGAAATACAGACGCCAGTACCAAACGGTGGAGTTCTGTGATGCTGGTAAGCATGGTGCTAAAAGATGATGAGTCCAGCCCCATGCCTTCAGTGAATTACGGTGTGACAAGGAGAAGCAGGGATTGCCATGGGGTCCCATCAGAACTCCTTATTACATCATGGCTCGCTCATGGAAGAGGACTAGATGCATCATCCATCAGCACCCACTCATCCACACCGCAGAATTTTGTCTCTCAACCGCTGCCTCAATTTCAAGGTGGGCTTTGGGGAGGCATTGCAGTCATGGCAATGGTGCCATGATCGTAAAATGTGAATACCAAATAGTTAGAGTGCCATAAGCCTAGCTTATGACATCTTCACTGCCTACAATGTCATAAGCCTAGCTTATACTATCTTAATTGCCTAACAGGATTCAGCCAACAACTCCATGGAGATAGGTTTCAGTGGCCACAAAAATGGGGACTCGAGGCATGTGAAATCCATATACTGCACTTTGCCCAATGGCATACCTAGTATATTTGACACTTGGTGTGGATCCTTTTTCAAACACTCCCCCTGCTCTCTTCAACAACCTTTTCCAAGTCTCTCGGAGCTGCTGGTCAGGTGGAAGAGAGAGGTGATTCTCATTACCACTATCTACTCTGCTAATCCTCAATCTTTCCTTTGGCAGGTAATGCACATGACAAAAATCCCTTTGTGGAGGTTACTAAGTCATTCAGTCTCTGCATTCCACCTCTATAGCATGTTTTCTTTCACATGGCTGTGAACCATTTTCAGAAGTGAACAATACCTCTTCAGTTTCTGGAGTACAGCAGGGCTTTTGTACTCATGTCCTGCTAGTAGTCCTCCCACAGGCAATTGGTTAGCCACCATGCAAACATAGTTGGACTGAGACCATCAGTCTGATCCCGCATGGCTGTTCTTAGATTCTTAGGAACATTCCGCATTTGGATTCTTTCAGAAAGGGACCAAAACACAACAACATGTTAGTATGCTTGACACTGAATTCTCACTACCTTTGTACAACAAGGAATCAGGGAGAAGGGGGAAATAAGCAAAGGAGAATTTATGAGAAGACCCTTCTTCTCTCTGTGAAAATATTAGTAGCAGCCATGTTGGTGAGGGATTCAAATCAATGGCACAGCATCAACAGGAATAGCCCACAATTGTGGGAGAGGTGAATCCAACATAGGAGAAACATGCCCCTTTTGGAGCTCAAGAATGGAGGCATTTATGAAATTTATTTAATGACATAGTGCTGGCCCAAATGTCACCTTTCTGGCTGAGCTATCTGACTGCAAAGTAAAGTTTGATATTGTTGTGTGTCTTGAAGACATTTCTGACTTATGACGACCCTAAGGCAAACCTATCATGGGGTTTTCTTGGCAAGATTTGTTCAGAGGAAGTTTGCCATTGTCTTCCCTTCAGGCTGAGAGCATGTGACTTGCCCAAGGTCACCCAGTGCGTTTCATGACTGAGCTGGGAATAAAACCCTGGTCTCTAGAGTCATAGTTCAAAACTCAAAACACTATGCCATGCTGGCTCTTATACATTACAATTTATGGCACTTTTTGAAGACTACCTCGCAATGACATACAACAACA